CCACACCTGAATGCCTTCATCACAGAGCAGAAGTCACTTTCCCTCTGGCATAATTAATTAATTTTTTCAGAGTGGCACAATTGCAGGTGAAATAAAGGACAGTGTATGCCACGCTGCTTGTTGCAGTCACTTGGGGAGAGGGAAATGTGAGCCCAAGTTACTTCATGCTGAAAAGGGGACAGAGAACTTCATGAGTAAAGGATGTAACTAATGTACCATCAACTGTAATGAGAAGAGTCACTGCAAATGCTTCTGCTTCTTGTTTGAGTAAATAGCTTGCACTTACTTATTTTCTTAGCAAAACAAGCTTTTCAAATCCCAAGAGAACACTCCCCCATGTCATGATGCCAAAGGCAGTTATACAGGAGAGTGATGCCACTCTCCAGAAGTCACAGCGGTAACAGCTCTGGAGGGATGCAGAAATGAAGCTCTGTGTGTGTGATTTTCTTCACAGTAAAGAATACAAACAACAGTGTGCTTTCAGACATGAGTTTTAAGAACATCAACCTTAGCTTTGGGGCATCTAATTGTAAAATAGGCCACTCAAATAATTTATGAATTCAGGCTGTAATACAACAGGGAGGATTCCTCCCCCTGCCAAATCCCATAAATTATATATTAAAAAAAAACTTCTAACAACTACTTAAAATTTAAGTTAAACCTGTGTGTATCAGAGAGATACAGGAGAGTACAGAATGGCTCTTACCTAAAATGTAAGGAAGTCTACACATCAACTTAAAAAACACCAAACCACCTCCACAGTCCTACTATATTTTGCAAACTCCAGTGCCCAGAGATGACTCAGCAACCCAGAGCTCACCACAGGGGACCAAAATCAAGTTCCCAGTATGCTCTATGTGACAACTCCCATCTTGGACCAGTGCTCTTCAAGTGGTCTGAGGGGCATATATATTCATGAAACGTTTATTAACTCAAGATTTTAACCGAATCAGACAGCACTTGGGACAGGCATAAGTTGCACAACACCATGAGTTGCACTGCTACTGGAAAATTCAAAATGACCTTTTCACACTTTACAAGCTTCACAACCTCCTTACACAGATTTAATCAAAAACAAGCATGCAACTTACACTTTAGCTTCACCTTTTGCACTGCCAGTCATCCAAAGCATGATGTTAAAAGTCAACATGTCCACTGCCACTATGAACAGCCCTACAAAATTACAGTCACAGACAGGAAGTAACCATTCCACAATTAATGTGAGACTGACTCATATTCATGTCAACATGGAGAGCTCAACCATGAAATCATTTCTTACATTTAAAATCCACAATACTAAATAAAAATCCGTGTCTCAGTGCTGCACTAGGTCATGTATGTCCTAAAATGCACTTGTCCTAGACCTATTACTGTATTTTTTCTTGTAGAAGTAACTACTACTACAAGTTTAACCAAGAACTAGTAGCAAGCAGTATATAAAGACAGAAAATAAGACACATTTTTCATTTTAACTGGAAGCGTGAAATGGAATTCTGTGAAAATAGAAGAATTAGGACCTGCACATCTCACATCATTCAGATTGCTCTCATCATCATTCACATGAGTGCATAGCAGCTTCTATTACAATTTTAATTTAAACTACAAAATTCAAATTTATGACTGCATTTTTGCAACTCTCAAGCTGCCCCATATATTAAAGATTTTAATTCATGCTTTCTCTGATTTAATGTAACTGTTTTGCATTCCTAGATAACACAAGTTGAAAGCAGTGCAAAAAGAATGATTGATAATACTGAAACAAATCCAAATACATACTGAATTCAGTACAGAAGAAACACCAAGAGGTTCTGGTTCCTTCAAATCAACATGTATTACCGGTATGCATATTCTGTCCACTGATGTTATAGGTCACATTGACATACTCAGTCTCCAGAGATTTAATAGGAGACCTAATGATGTCTGGATTGCATACAGGTTTTGGATACAGAATAATATTTTTCTGTTTTGTATAAAATGTGAACGGAATGATCAAGTTCATGTGCTATGGCATGCATTATAGTACTAAAGAATGCCAGTGATTGCACAAAACTCTTTTACAGTTGCTCTAAAAACATTAATTAAGGAATATTTTGTGTCACTACAAAAACAACACAGGAGGGTAGTGAAAAAATACAGAGCAGGATACAGTAAAATACTGGGTAGTCACTAAGAAACCCAGAGAGCCTCACTTACACTTGCCATAATTTACATTTAACTGAAACCTTAAAGACCAGACAGAAACTGAAGTTCAAGAATTTTATTCTCAGTTGCTACTTTATGCTTTTTATTAATGTAAGTCAAACCCTTCATGCTATTCCCTTAATTTGTAATGTCATTACAACTTCTCTTTAAAGCCTACTCTAGGAAAGTTAAATTCATGAGTAGTAGGGCTTTATCATTAGTTTTTAACTCAGGCCTTGGGGAGGGGTTGTGGGGGAAGGAGAATTACAGGAGAGTAGAAAGAGTCAAACACAAGAACTTACAAATTCTATTCCTTAAAAGCATAAAGAAGTGTGTTGCTGATGTGTAAGTCTTCCTTATGTATTATAACATTATGAAAGTTAGCATAACAGAAAAAAGGAAGTACCAGCTTGGTTCTTCCTTGTGTAATATGAGTTGGAGTATTTCTGTAGAGTAGCACTGAGCACGTGAAATTCTTTGCCCACAAAGCAACCTCATGTCACAACAGCATTTCATTCCAGATCTCCCCACCTAAGAGTTCACTAAGTCGTTTTCATTTTTTCATGACCTTGCAAATGGTGAGAACAGAAGCACCAATGCAAAAACATCTCTGTCCCCCTTAACACACCCTTTCCGCATGCACATGTAAACTGCGTTTAGGAGCTGGTTGACAAAAAAAAAGAGCAAAAAGATGGGCTGTACAGCAATCAAAGATTACTAGTGTCCTGGGTTCAGCAGTAGCAGTCATTTTTTTCCTTCTTCGTAGCCGGTGCAGTGCTGTGTTTTGACTTTCGGCCTGATGTTTTGGTTTGGCCAAGGACTTTGTGAGCCTCATGCTCTGCCAGGGAGGAGGGGAAACCAGGAGGAAGCAGAGACAGGACACCTGACCCAAACTGACCAAAGAGGTATTCTATACCACAGCACGTCATGCCCAGGATGCAACTGAGAGTTACCCAGAAGGGCTGGGACGGTGGGGTTGGAGGAAGTATCAGTCAGAACTTGGTCGGGCTGGGGGGGGGGGGCGAGTTATTGATTGGCTGGTGGTGAGATGTTGTATTCTCTTCCCTTGTTATTTCCTTTATCATTGTTATTATTGGTGGTAGCAGTAGTGATTTGGGAGTTGCATTCCTTTCGTTTCTCCTCTCTGTCCCTCTGGGAGCAGGGGGAGGGAAAGAAGGGGGGGAAGTGAGTGAATGAGTTGCCTGACTGGGTTTAAGCCACCACAACCAGGAACAGGCTGGAGACCAACCCACATCACCACCCTTGGCAAGTTACTAGCAATGCCACTGAAAGCATGTGAAGTTAGAGCCTTGCTCTGCTACCAGTGAATTATGGAGCACTCGACAGTGGCGTCATGTATTACCAAGACCTTAGCATAACAAAACCCAGATAAACAAAATCAAAGCTAAACGGTCATGAAATTAAATTAGGGGGAAGAAAAATAGGAAGAATAGATGTAAGCATGGTATCTGTTCACTGTAACACACCTCTACATGGACAGTGAGTGATTCACATGAGATGAATGCAGTATAGCAGATCTTGTTTCTTGGCTTATGCCTATGTACATCCCTCTGGAAATACCGCATTTATAACTCCCTGCATCCAACAACGACCAGCAGCTGGAATAGAAAGTTTTCGGCATAATCCAAGTTGAGATAATAATCCACCCCCCCCGCTATCTCCTCCCATACAGCCCAGGCATACTTACTCCAATAAGGCACTAGGACGTGCAGTTTGGCTGCTATCCCCGGCCAGGGCCGGAGTTCAGCCGGGCTTCTGGGCCGGGAGCAGGCAGGGATAGGTCCCTGTACTGGCGCTACGCAACCCTGCAGCCGCGGCGGCTTCGGCACTCACCGGCCGCCAACGAAGACCCAGCAACATCCACCCCTGGGGATGGACTGAGGGCCTGTGCCCGGGGGAAGCTCCTCCCGGCTGGGGAAAGGCCAACCGGGGAACCTCCTCTGGCGCTCGCCCCGCAACCGATGCCTACCCCAAACGCAGCCGGCAGCCGTGGCAAAGCGAGCGCACCCAGCGCCCGCCGCCGCTATGCTACACGAGCTGGCAGCAGTCTGCGGCTGGCGCCTTCCCGGGCAACAGTTGGCTGCGTCCCCCGGACACCCCCTTCCCGCCGCCCTGCGGGGGTCAGGGGCAGTCGCGCCGCCTGCGGCACCGGCCGGGGCGCGGTGACCCTGGAGCAAGGAGCGGGTACAAAAGCGGCGGAGAGGGCAGGCGGCGAGGGGAACCTTCCGGACGGAGAAGGCGCAGGGTCCGCAGAGCTCCGTCCCCGCCCCGCTCCCTGCGGGGCTGATGCGGGGGGCGCTGCGGGAACGAGCGGCAGAAGCGGCTCAGCCCGCTCGCCACTGCGCAGTCCCGGGCAGGCGGCAGCACCCAGCCCCACTGTCTCCCTTTCCTCTGCCCTTCCTGCTTACCTGAACCGCCCGTCGCCGCTCGCTGCTGCAGCGACTCTCGTCCATCCCCCGCACCTCAGAGACAGCCGGCGACGCGCCCCTGCCCTGCCCGGCCCAGCCCAGCCCAGCGCAACGCTCCCAGGCCCGCCCCACGGTGGCTGCGTGCGGCTCCCTCGGACCCGCCTCCAGCCGCCGCGGGCTGGGGTGGGGAGGGGGCACTCTGCGGGGCCCAGAGCAGGAGGAGGGGTCCCCGGTGTGGCTGCGGACAGGGAGAGGGCCGGGCGGCTGTGAAGGACGGGAACGAGAGACGGGGAGCCCGTTCGCTCCGCAGATGCAGAGGAGAAAGGGGAGCTTGGGCGTCTGCTTGGAGATAAAGGCAGGGAAAGGAGCGGCCATCACCCGTGCTGTCCCCCCGCGCCCGGGGCTATCGGTACTGACCCAGATCCGCCCAGATCTGCAGAGATCCCATCCCCTCTCCTCCCAGCTGGTCGGCTCTTATTTTTGGGAAAGGGGGGGAGCCCGGACTGCGTGTGTGTCAGTGTTTGAGATCAGTAGGACTGCGCATACATTTTTCGCATTTTTGGCTTTGCAGAAGGCAGCACTTCCTCAAGACGTCAAAACCAGATCTGAGCCCGTTCGCAGCTCGTGAAAATACTTTGTACTTCCTCTTGCTGTTTTGAGGGTTAAATAAGGTTAAAAGTTGCAAGAGTGGTGGAGCAGCGCTTGGTCTCCCCCTTCCCTAAAAGACAAGTCTGTGAGTCATTTACAGAAAGAAACAAAAAGCCTACAAGTTACAGTATTGGAAGCACGGCATAAAAATATCTAGATATTTGTTCATACCAGGGGTTTGCTTGGCGAGCTCTTTAAATGTGAGAAGCCATGATGCTGACCGCAAAGCCAGTAAGTACAGCTCTGTGCCAGTGAACCAGAGAGCTCACAGCTGCGTTCTGCCTGGGGCGAACGCCTCGAAGGAAGGGTCTGGGTGCACTGAGAGGTGTGATTCTCATGAATAAGGCAAGCTGTGAAGCGCTGGGAAGCCGAGCGATTTGGTAGAGCTGTGAGCACGTAGGATTTGCTGCCGTCTTGACCCTCTGCCCTTTCACACCCTCTGAGCAAGCATCCCAGAGTAGCATCACTGACATGCTTTTAACTTCTTGCCTTTACCCAGGCTGTATCCAGATGTCCTTGAATTGTTCTTTGGTCTGAAAATTCCAAATTTTCTAGTTAGAAAATAATTTGAGTGACATACTTAGTCTATTAAAAGCCTTGGTATCTGTTACTGAAGCACATATTTAATATAGGAACCCTTGCAGCACCCAGCTTAGTAGAACACTAAGCTGCTGGCTTGCATTTTTTATCCTCAAGTCTCGAAGTACCTTTTAAAAGAAATAAATCACATTGCTCCACTTTCAAACAGGAAGAACAGTCACATGGAAAACTGGAACCAGGAGAGAGAACTGAACCTCAGATTCTCAGCAGCTTAATGTTCTCTTATTTTTCTGGGGCATGCCTTCTGACTGCTGTGTAATGGGCATGTCTTTAGCTGGATGCTTTTATAAAAGAAGAGGCAGCTGTCACCGATCATCTGGAAATATTCTGACTCCATTAGTGCATGTTATGTGTATGCACTCAGATTGTCTGCACTGAATGCATCAAGGACAGAAGAATATTTTGATTCTTGATACAGATAGTAATTAGGAGCTAGAAAAGTCCAACTTTTAAATCCTGCCAAAACAAAGGGACTGTTATATATTGATGAAATGAACTGTAGAACATCTACATAGCTTTAGCATCACATACTGCACTAAAGACTGAAGTTGAACAGGCTGTAGTGGCATGGCAGGCAAGTGACACATTTCAGATTCTCAGCTTTGCACAATCATGTTAGAGACCAGGAAATAATTGTTTAACTGGCTACTTTTATATTATCCAAGCCAACAGTAGCTATCTGTGCTAAACTGTTATGCTAGTGGTGGCATGAGACAAATCAAGTTTGAGGCACATCGGTAGGTTTCAGATTCCTCAATGAAGTCACCTCTTACTCCTTGGACTTTGTGAGGGATCTCATATAGTGCCCAAGTTTTGTCTTTGAAGAAGTGCAGGACTCCCATTAAAATTCTGTCTCATGGCTACCAGCCCCATCCCAATGTTTCAAACACCTGAAGCTTTCTCAGATGAAAGAATGCGCTTGCATTTACACATGTGAATTGTGCCTCTAAATGTAGGTATGCAGACACCTGCATGTTATTAGATGTTAATTAGGTGTCTGTTCTCCCATTAGTCAGGAGTAGGGTCCAGGCCTGATGCTTTCATACACTTGTCTTGCATATTATGAGAAACAGGTAGGTGCCTACAGTCAGTTCCCTGGTGAGCCATACAATGGACCATCCACAAAGAGGCTGTGTTATCACAAATCAAAGCTACCCAGGCTCTGTTGACACAGGTCCTGATCCACAGGTAGGATAAGCAGATGTATTCAGGGCTTCTTAAGGTGCACTTGGGTATCATGCCTTGTTTTCTACTGCTCTTCAAAAGCATCAGATCTCTTGTAGGTCCTTGTGACCTATCTCAGGTAACTCAGAATGCCCATTGCTATGCAAATGAATGTGTCTTAACTACAGTAGAACCTTAGACACCTAGCTGAAGACACCTTCATACAGACATCTAAAATTTAAGAGCCTGAATCCCACACTGAATCTCATCCAAACCAGTCTGCAATCTCAAATGTCAGGCAAATTGAACACTTTTTTTTTTTTTTTTTTTTTAAGATTCTGCCCTTATAACATCTGCTGTATTTTGAATGCTGTCACAGTTTTGAGTTTTTTTGGTTTGTTTTTTTTTTTTTTTTTGTGGGTTGGTTGGTTGGGTTTTTTTTGGTTGTATTTTTATCAGGAATGATTCATCAAGTCACTTACAATGTTGGCAGATACTTGAATTTTTGTCTACCTGGAAGAGAATTGTTTAGTCTTTTGTAGAGGTTGATGCCTTGCAAGTCTTGAAATTCATGGCTTTGTGCAAAATTGCACTAACAGTCATCTGGATGCAAACAGCAGTCTCAGAACAGATGGGAATATGAGCTTTCAGCTTTTGATGTTTAGCTTGCTAAGCAGAACTAATGTATTTATCTAGCAGTTTTCTTAAGCATTGCATGTAGGAATCAATTTGTGAATAAAAGGACATCTTTCTTAATGCTCATTTTAGCTTTGCGCAGACTGAAATGAAGAAGGTTAGTATGAAGAGCATTCCTTGGAAAAAGAAAGATTTAAACCTCAGTTCAGAGGTTACCAAATTCAAGGGGAAGTGTCTTCAATTTCAGTGGCCATTGAATCAGGCCCTTAATCATATCCTCAGTTTGGAAGTACTTTATTTTTGTGGTTAACTCAGAAAAAAAAGGATAATGCTAATATATTCTATGAAGTAAACTATATGAATATTCAGTAGGATCCTGTCATCACTTGCATAATTCATGGTACCAGTGATATTGTTTGGAATTGTAGCTGTTCATCACTTGTGAAGATGAACTTCAGTGCTATTTTGGAATTTAGGGACAGAATTTTCTTCTCTGAAATTTTCTGCTGAAAATTAGCAATAAAGCCTTTTGAGACAAACAGAGGGAGCAGAGAAGGGAGTTAATCTATTATTTTATGACTCTGAATTGTGTCTGAAATTGTTTCTTATGACAGAATTATGCGGCTGTGGTTTTGTCAGTATTTTTCTCTCTTCTTGGGACAATCATTAGTAAGGGAGCAGAGATATCTTCTTCATCTCAATTGTTGTAAATATAGTCAGCTTGAAGAGCTTGCTTTCTCAGCATACATTGAGCCTTTACTACAGTAAGCCCTCCAGTTTATTTCTTGTATCAACTGATGCATGACATTGGAAGAAGCATGGGCAGCCTGATCTTTGCTGACAAGGGACCAACCATGACAGATTAGAGCAGCTACGCCACTCACTGAAAATGCAGCAGTCTCAGCTGGAAATCTGACCTGTATTTATCTACCTGTTTGGAAGTCAGTATATAGAAAATAAAATCCCCTTTAAAAGACACATATACATTAAGTGATGGGACTTTGGCTATGTAACTGTATAGGAATGTGATTAGACCCTAGGACTTTTTTTGTGTATGGTTCTTAGTTGTAACTACCTTATTCACATAAACATGGACAAAGCGTAATAATAGTGTTCGTATACACTGAGACATGCTTCTTGTTAATGCTGTAGCACTGAAAATCATAAAAACAATTAGCAGGAAAGTTACCTTTTTAATTCAAAAGTTTATTGAGAAGTAAACACAGAAAATTTATTCATTCTGTGTGCTGCTTCTACAATGAAACTGCAGAGTATTTCAGTGTAATTACATTGTAAAAAATTAGCTCAGATTTGCTTGAAATAATATTCCTACTGCAAAACAAATAGTAATAATTTCAATAGCTCACTGGATATGTAATGTTTCATTTATCACTATTAATAAGAAAATGTCTAAGTACCGAACTATTTTAAGCTGGTCGGCACAAACCCATTTTCATTTGCATCTAGCAAGATGTATCCTGGCAACCGTATATTTTTGGATTCGTAACAATTTATTCTATTCATTTTATTCAAATGAGGTAACCAATACTGCAAAAATCACGAGAATTTGAGATGGATAACTTCTATTATTCAGAGCTATAGATAGAAGACTAGGAATCCATGTGAATAATGAGTAATTTTTTTTTTTTAATAATCTGTTAAACATTTCCTTCAGCCTGTCTACCCAACTAAAATGTTTATCTGACATGGTTCACATACTTTTACTCCAAAATGGAAAGCAGCAGCAACCCAAGCTGTGTCCTGGGAAGTAATGCTTATCCCACACCACAGCCCTGATCCTGCTGTGTTATTTTCTGAGTTGAAAATATTGCAATTTTCCCCAGACTCACATAGAACTTACAGGGGGAAGAGGAAGAGCAGAGGCTGCAAACATTGACCACATCTGACTTGACTGCATGCTGACTTGAAAATTTGATAAGGTAATACAGTCCCTACAGCAAACACTAGGTTTAAGTGATATGTATGAGTTTTTTATCATATTGTGTGTGAATGTCACTGAAAGGACATTTTTCAGAGAAGCCTATCTTCTGATTTGGTGGATATGTGTGAATTGTTTGCATTTGCTATAGAAGAGGTTTTGCAGAAACCTGTATATCTTCAGTATATTCTTTTATTATCAAAACAGTTTTTTTGAGAAGATCTAAGGAGTTCAGCTGGGACAAAGCTCTGTTTACAGAAACATTTGATATAATACCTTCATAAGAGCCAAATGTCTATAAAAAGAATTTCTTTCTTTTTTTCCACTTGTGATGTTCAAGAGCTTTCAGTCTGGATCAGAATCACTGAATCTGCATACTCTTAACAAGCCAGGCCTATATAGTTCCTTCTAAAACAACAATGAAAAATGAAACTTTCTGTAGCAACATAGCTGGTACATTGAACCAGAATCCCGCCAGCTAGTCATCAACATACATGATGGCTACTGTTGTTCCTCTCTAAGACAATAATCTGGATATACCAGTGTATATCCAGACTCAGTTATACCCAGAATAAATTCAAATTTGACAACTGAAATAAATAGTCCTCGGTCACTTTTCCTGTCCTTGTAGCAGAGCTAAGTGTACGTACAGCAAGAATGGGTCAACAGTTTATGAAGCAACTCCTGAGCCACTGAAGTATGCAGGTGCCTTAGGACCCATCCATACATGGTAGTGACCAACACAATATTCAGAATGTGCTTCATGAGATAACCCGTAGAGCCTTCCTTGAGTACAACTGGCTCTGTCAAAACAGAGGAGTACATAGCTGATGAAAATGGAAATTTCAGCCATCTCAGTTTGCCCCATTGCTACATGGCAGTCAGTGAACTTAAGTTTGACTGGAAGCTTTGTTAGGGAGTTGAAAGGTCAGAACTCCATTTGACGATGTATGAAGTGATGAGCAGTTGCTACAGGAAATTACGCAAGCGTGTTAAAAGTAACAGTTGGGTTGCTTTTGTAATAGGAAAAGCGAGGGTTTGAATTGCCCATACAATCTCAGTGTGGATCCCAATACATATACATTATGATATTTTTGCTAACTCCATATACATGAATGCCTTATGTTTATAAACAAACACACATAGCCTCTGACTCAGCCAGAAAGGGGGGGGGGGGGCCCAGCTGGACTACAGGAAAAGTATATTCAGCTCTTTATTCTGGTATATCCTAATTCTTAACTCTGCAGCTTTAAATACTGTAATACTCTGTCTTCCACTCACTATTTGGAAATGATTTGCAGGATCCAGGCTCTCCTTTGAAAGAGCATTAAGTTGTGAATGGATATTATCTTCTCAGTTTTACTGTAATGCAAAGGACATGACCGCTCACAGCTGTTTGTCAACTTCTTGCCTGTGTTTATTGTCTCCAAAGATTTGCTGGGATGATTTGCTAATTGACTATATTAGACAGGTTAGATTAAACAGTTTTACTTCTAGGTCTTTCCTGGGTCATCTCATTTCAACTGAACCATGTAATGATATGCTTACCCTGTCAACTCTGCAGGAAGACATGTGTAAATGTGACAACTTCCAGTGGAGAGAGAGATGGGCAGGTTGTTCTTGGGAGTGCACATCTGCTTAAGCATCCAGCAAACTTAAGGAATTCAAAACTGGGTTCCCTATTCTACAATTATTTGGCTCTTCTGATATAGCTAAATATTTAAAGCACATGCTATAAATTTCATTAAGTCACTTGGGTTTATCTGTACCTGTTTATTGGGTTTGATGTACCAAAATAAATCTGAGGATATATAAAAATCACTAGGTGTAAATCTTTTTTTTTTTTTTCTGCAGGTTGCTTTTTTCCCTTTACCTGTGTTTCACAAATTGTAGGGGACCTATACTACATGCAAAGCAGTAGAAGACTGACTCCTCTCTCTTTTCTGTTTTTATTTGAGATCAAGGATGATAAATAAGTTTAAAATTGTCTTACATATTTTATTCATCTGATAAAAGTCCCCATATTCCATTTTTTTTTTCTCTAAAATCTGAAGAGTCAAGAATGGCACCTCTTTAAAAAGGAGTGCTTCTTAGTCAAAAGTTCAAAGAAAATTTAAGTGTCACAGCACTCAATTTTGACGTGGTGCCAACATGAAAAAAGTCCTCTACAAATCTAGGCATTCCAAGCTTAGGCTATCATTCATCTAGTTTGTAATACAAACAGCACAGCGATAGAAGTGTTAGGAACATTGAGATAACGCTTTCTTCACTTCCAAAAGTGCATTATCGTCTTATAAAAGATAGAATAATTGTAGCCCACATACTATCCTCCTGATAGATGATATTAAAACTACTTACAAAAGGTAAATGTCCTCATTAATAGTAAACTATCTCAGCCTTTTCTGGTATCTAGACTGGGAAAGCTAAACACATTCTCCTGAGTTTAACCTTGCATCTCTTCATGCAAGCATTGAGTTTATATGTAAATGAAATCAAATATTACTTATCTGAAAGATAAATACAGTGGTAATTATATGTCCTGGTTTCGGTGATACTTAGTTGCCATCTGGGGTTAAACCACAACATTATGAAAAGTCAATAGTCAGCAGTCAAGCAGATGTGTATAATGAACAATAATTAATGCTGAGTCAATTATAAGGATAAATGGAAAGTTCATTTATATGGGTAGAAAAAAGACTTGTTTCCACAGTAAGTTGAACAGTCATAGGATCACAGGATCATAAAATAATTCACGTTGGAAGGGACCTCAGGCAGTTTCTAGTCCAATGTCCAGCTCAGAGCAGGATCAGCTGTAAGAACAGACCATGTTACTCTGGTCTTTATCCGTTTGGATTTTGAAACCTGCCAGGAACGGAAACTGTGCAGCCTCTCTGGGAAAGCTGTTGTATTCTTGACTGTCCTTGTGCTGAAAAGACTTCCTTAAATCCGGTCTGAATCTTACTTTTTTGCAGCATACATGCATTGTATCTCCTACTCCTGCCAGACATCATGCTGAAGATCCTGGCCCTGTCTTCTTGATAACTTTCTCATGGGCATGGGAAAGTTACTGTTAGTCACCTCTAATAGTCATATACAATAGCAAATCTTTGCTTCATTTTTCCTATCAGTTGCTATGAATAGGAAATAAATATCTTACACCATCTCACTTTCTTCTGTTTACCCAATAATGTCACCTCTCTTAATCACCTGTTACCCTCCCTTCTGTCTTTTGGGATTCATTCACCCCAAAGCCCCCAAAACCATCTTACATCATGACGTTGCCTTGAGCTTATACTCTAGGGAGAGCAGCTCCTCACTTGCCACTAGCGACAAAAAGTTTCTAGGGGTCAGAGAGAGTGTCTTGTTGCATTGGCATTGCTTTCTTCAATAGCTCTGGTTAGATATTCTGCAGTTCTACCTTGTACAGTTATTTCAGCTTTGTCACTGTGATGCAAAACAAAGTATATCTCTAACAACATAGTATGCACAGTCTTTTCTAGCTCGTTAATAGGTGGCAGCAGAGAGCTATTTCTTCTGTGGCAAAAATTATGTTCATTCAGTTATTAGAAGGAAAAACTGAACACTGAATTTTATAACAATTAATTTTGCATAAAATAAATGAAAGTCATAAAAAAGCTTTTCATCAGCTCCTTACAGATCTCATAACTGGAGTGGAGCATGTTCTCTCCTTTAAGTCTTTCAGTGCATTTTCTACATTTCTTTGCTTATGAGAGATGGCTTACTGCTACTGGTGTCACTTTTAAAATGAGCTGTAGGACTGAATTGAGAGCTGTGTTTCAGTGCAGCCTTAACAAGAAAGTGTCTAACTGCATCACAGCTTCTGTCAGGATGAAAACAGAAGAAAACCATAGATGAATATCGAAAACGCATTAAGAAAGCTCCTGGATAAGGCATTCTCTATGTCTCAAAGATGGCAGATGAGAAAACAACTAAAATACCTTTTCTTGCCATCATTACTAGACCAAATCATAAGCAGATCTATCTCCATTACAGAGTTTGAAATTCAGTTAAAATGTGGGA